GAAAGCAGTTCGTTCCCTTCGCCCAGAGAGCAGGGATTTTGAGCATGTCCTTGGCTGAAGGAACCTGTCTGAAAAGGCTGGCTATACATTTCTGAAGGCGTGGTTTTCAGTTAAAGAAATAGCTTGGGGGCTGGCAGGTGGCGTGGTGGTGGCTGACTGCAGTTCAAGTCCCGGACCTGGCAGCTTGCTTTCTGACCTTCCTTTTCTCTCTCTTTGTCTCTGGTCAACTTCAAAAAAATTAATTAATTAGATAGTGACAATGAATAAAATTTCTTTAAAATTTAAAAACTAGCCTGAAAACCACATTACAAAACAATGCCCAGAACAGTTTATGTTTTCTTTTTTTGTAACGAGGTTTTTGCCAGAGGGCTCATGCACTCGCCCAAGAGAGAAAGAAAGAAATGGAGAAATGGAGAGACAGAAAAAGATGGAGATACCGAGAGACAGACAGTGAGAAGGAAAGTGAGGAAATCCCCCTGGTGGGGAGAGATGGCCACGTCGCAATCCCTTCTCCTCCGTTTTCCCCTCAGGATCTTACACACATGCACATAAGCCCAGAGTGATATTCAAGCCACTGGGTCCAGGACTCGAACGCGGTGGGCCTTGTGGGAGTCCAGCAATATAACCATTACGCCACCTGCTGGCCTCGGTTTGTCCTTCTTGAAAGGATGAGGAACTGAGTCAATCTGGAACAGGTTCAAACCCCCCAGCTCCTGCAAGTCTGTGTTTCCAACACGCTTACTTAAATACCTGTAAGTCTTACCTCAAATTCATGTTCAGATATTTAAACAAAGGAAGATAAAAAGTGTTAGAGGTTGTAAAAAATAAAAGACTAAATAAAAACCACTCATTTCAGGAGTTAGTAGCTACTATTAAACCACGCACGTGGCCCTTCCTCACACCATCTGTGAACCCAGTTTTCCATTAACAAAAAAACGCCTCACGAGATGGACACCTTGGAGAACACGTAAACCCCGGTGAGTGCGTGGAGAAGCGAGGCCCCTGTTGGTTTCCAGGCTGACTGATGAAACTGGGCCACCAGCTGTGGTCATTTTCATGCTTCTTCTGACAACATGCCTGACAGCAGAACATGAACATCAGTAGTCCTTTCCTTATTCCTTCTAACAACCTTACTGTAGCCAGTATGATCACTTCCCGACTACGAGACAGTCCATTCCTTTCCCGAGTTGTCACATTCCAGTGAAATGGAATTTACCAGCTGCTGAACAGATAATCAACTCTCAACACATCAGAATATAGAAAAGATACCTAGCAGTTACCAAGGACTAATGACAACTTTCTCTGACCGTTAACCAAGGCTCGTCACTTCCTTAACATGCACCGAGGGTCTTGGGGCCAGGTGAGAAGGGAAAGGACGAGAGCAGGAGTCCAGCCTGAAGTCTCACTGCACAGTAAGTACAGGGACACGGGAGGCCCTAGAGATGCTTTAATGGCACACACACGCTTTCTCTCTCCGGCACCAGCTGTCTTCCCACTTAGTCATCTCTTTTATGTAATTTTAGCAAATACTCCTTTATGAGCAAGGCGCAGAACCAACGAAGTAATGGTAATATGCACATGCGATTTCATATCATCTTTCACAGTGGCCCAACAAGCCAGGTGCTGCTGTAACCTCCACTGTACAGATGAGAACGCAGGCTCAGAGTAAGTCAAGTGACTTATTCGAGGTCACTGAGCTTAGCACGGCCCCAGCTGCCTGCCTCAGAAGCCTGCGACTGTGGGTGACCCCGGTGCCGCACCGTCACGCAGACAGACCAGACAGAAACAGCTGTGCTTTCTGGAGAACACAGAAGCTACTACTGCTATAACCCACTTGCTCTTAAAACATTTTTATGGAGCCAGCAGGTGGTGTGGAGGTTAAAGGTCCTGGACTCCCACATGGCGAAATCCAGTTCGAGTCACGGACCTGGCGGCTTGGAAATAATGTCAGGCGCGTGTGCGTGCATGCCCAAAATCCCAGGAGGAGAACGAAAGAGAAGGGATTGCAGGGAGTGAGTTCTCTCCCTCTCACTGTCTCTGTCTCTCTGATGAGTGCACATGCTCTATAGTAAAATAACTTTGAAAAATTTTTTTTATTCTTCTTTCCATGAGTGAGAAATGGGGGGAGGGGGTTACTCCAAATAGTCAATTATCACACCATAACCCCCACCCCATCCCCACAGCATGGACACACACGTGCCTGGTGTGTTCCAGGAGGTCTCCAGACAAAACCTGACCTTCCCCATCTGGGTGGGCCTCACAGAGCGACCCACTACCGCTGCGCCACTGTACGGTGTCAGTGGCTTCTCTACTGTGAGGACGGCCTCTCGTCTCCTAGCTGCAACAACGTACAGACGGGCTCTCCGCAGCCTGGGCGCACGAACCTCTGCTGCTCAAAGTGCTACTGCATAGCTCGCCTTATACTGCTTAAAGCCCCTGGAAGGGTGGGTATTCTCTTCATTCCAGAGAGAACACTGGGGCCTGGGGAGCGACTTGCCCGAGGTCAGAAGCATTCAATCTGCTTTTCTCCTTAATGAGAATACTGATGTCATCCAAGTCACATGGAAGAAACAGAATTCTTGTCATAGTTAACCACAAAACCCACTCCCAAAGTGAGACCTGATAGAAATGGTTGCCACTAAAACTTAAGTAATTTGCAATTTAGAAATACACTGGCCCTATGGCCTGTTGGTTAAGGGGGCCAGATCCCACATGGTTGACTGTGTGGTTCAAATCCCAGCCCTGAAAGCTTGAGAAACGCTTTTTTGAAGAACCAAGTGTGCGAATGCCCAAAATTCTAACAGAAGGTGATGAAGGAGAAAGGATTGTGTTGTCGCCACACCCCATTAGGGGGAGCTTTTACCCTCTTCCCTCTCCCTCTGTCTCTTTCTGGTGAGCACACACATCTTGTGGCAAGAAAAAAAAAAAAAAAGACAAAGAATTAATATCATAGCCTAGTGGTTATAGGAGCTGGATCCACATGCTCAATCCCAGTTAGGGTCCGGGCACAGGCGGCTTGAAAATACTCCAGGCACATGTGTGTGCATTCCTAAAACCCTGATAAGGGAGAGGACTGGAGCAAGGGGGCTTGTGGCATGACGACATCCCACTGGGGGTTGCCGTCTCCCTGTCTCTGGTGAGGACACGTCTTCTAGCAATATAAATAAATAAGTAAATAAATCACCATCATTTCAGTTGTCTGAGTAATTAAATTGTGAAAAAAAAATAACTTACACCTTTCTTAATTGCCCCGACCAAGAAAGGTGTAACACACTGTAAGCTTTTGCCCTTAAATTTAACTTCATTTCATTCGCATCCATTGCAAAAATTAACTTCTATTCACACAGAAAGCGCACCTGAGAGGTCACCAAAAGAAGGAGTTACGTGGGGCCAGCAGGTGGCACTATAGTTAAGGTGCTGGACTCCTACATGAGTCCCAGACCTAACAGCTGGGAAATCACTCCAGGTGCCTGTGCATGTGTGCCCAAAATCCCAAGAGGAAAATAAAGAAGGGACTGTGGCATGGCCATCCCACCCCTTTGAGGGGGTGGTAATTTCTTACTTTCCCACTCACTGTCTCTGTCTCTCCGGGGCAAGCGCACGTGCCCTATGGAAAAACCATTTTTTTTTAAGAGGTTTTTGCTATAGGGCGTGTGTGCTCACCAGAAACAGAGAGAGACAGAGAGACAGAAAGTGAGAAATCACCCCCCAGGGGGGATGGCCACACTGCAATCCTTTCTCTTCCATTCTCCTCTCAGGATCTTGGGCACACACACACATGCCCGGTGTGAGTTTAAGCCACCGGGTCCAGGACTGTAACCACAGTTAACTACGTGGGAGTTCAGCGACATAGCCATTACGCTAACTGCTGGTCCCGCAAAAACCATTATTAAAAAAAAAAAAAAGCAATTATGTAACATGACTACTGGGTCATGGGAAAAGTTGTGACATATTTTTGTTTTTCTATGCAAACCACATCATGACTTTTCCAATGACCCAGTAATAAGTACTTTCAAGTCTCCAGAAAAAGTGCCTCTTTTTGTCAACTCGACAGCAGTATGCATAGGAATCCTGAGGGGTTCGGTCCCTCCATAAGGACAAGGATACAATTAAACACTACAGGAGGAGAACTGATCTCAGATTTGAACAAAACACCTTTTTTTTGTGAGAGAGACTTGCCATAGGGTGTATGCACTTGCTGGAGAGACAGAGAGCGAGAAACCATCCCCTGGGAGAATGGCCATGCCATAATCTCTTCTCTTCCATTCTCCTCCTGGGATTTTGGGTATGGGCGTACACGCACCCAGCACGTACACGCACACAACTGCTGTGTCCAGGACTGGAACTGCAGTTGGACATGTAGGAATCCAGCACCTAAACCACTATGCCACCTGCTTGCTCCCAAAACACGTTAAAAAAAAAAAAATCAACCAGGGCTGGCCCCACAGCCTAGTGGTTAAGAGTGCAATCCTACACGGCCAAGCACAGCCCTAGCAGCTTGAAAGACATGCCAGGAACATGTGCATCCATGCCCACAACTCCAACAGGATGGAGCAATGGAGGAAGCGGGATTGTGGCGTGACCATGCCCTACCGCTCGACCTGGCTCTCTGCCTCTCTCTCTCACAACTGCCCTCTGCTTATTAAAAAATATATAATATATATATGCAATCCATTGCCTGTGGATTTCAAGGGAAGTTTATATATATATATATAAATATAAGAGAACCACTCATCCTGAAGTTACAGTCAAAAAAAACGGTCAAAGTCAGTAGGTAGGTGAATATCTGTAATACTTTGACCTCAAGAACAGTTCATCACAAGACAACAGAGTAAGACATGACACAGGATACAGCAGGAAAAGATTCAGGTCTTTCACTGAAAGTAAAAAACACCGGGATAGAGTATAAACAAAGTCAAAAACTATTTAAAGTTTCAAAGGAGAAAATAAAAACCGTTCAGAGAGTGAACTGTGACATTTTATTCGTAAATCTAGACTACCTGAAACTCCGCGTCACTGCTCCACTCTCACAAACTCTAACCTGGGGTAAGCATCGCACCGTATCCAGGCAGCTCTGACGATCCGCCAGCTCTAAAGAAAGCCTGCCTGCCTGTGAGCTTCCAAGTGTGTGCAAAATAACTTCCCTTGAAATCCACAGGCAATGGATTGCACCCTAATTGCATCATTTGCTCCTTGTTTTGAGGGTACTGGGGACAATTCTCAGAGCAAGGGAGTTTTACTTAAAAATACAGCCCGCTCACAAAAACGTATCCACTCATCCTGAAGTTACGGTAAAAAAAAAAAACCCTAGCTCAGTACAAAAGTGTGTTTTTTTCCTCAAACATGCAGCCTTCACCAGCCTAAAACTATTTAAAAGTAAAGGCACAGCCTGTCCATCTGAAATCTTTGTTGTTGCTTTTTAGTAAGATTTCTGCTATAAGGTACAAGCACTCGCCAGAGACAGGAAGCGAAAAATCACTCCTCCCCAGGGGGATGGCCAAGCTGCAACCCCTTCTCTTCCATTCTCTTCTCAGGATTTCAGGCACACACGCACACGTGCCCGGCATGAGTTTCAATCCTCTACATCAGGGACTGAAATCGCGGTCAGCCATGTGGGAGTCCAGAGACATAACCATTACGCCATCTGCTGCTCCCCAGTCTGAAATATTAAAAAAAGATGGGACTAGCAGTGGACATAATGGCTATGTCGCTGGACTCCCACATAGTTGACCACGGTTTGAGTCCCGGACCCAGTGGTTTAAACTCACGCTGGGTGCGTGTGCGTGCATGTCCAGGAACCCGAGAGGAGAATGGAGGAGAAGGGATTGCGTTGTAGCCATCCCCCCTGGGGAGTGATTTCTTGCTTTCTCTCTGTTTCTCTTTCTGTCAAGCGCACATGCCCTGTAAGCCAAAACCTCTCAAAAAAAAAAAAAAAAAAAAAAAAAAAAATAAAAGAAAAAGAAAGGAAGAACGACCTCATGAAAGAAAAACAAACCCAATGCAGAAATCCAACATATTGGGGCCGGCAGGTAGCATGGTGATTAAGGGCACTATATTCCCACATAGTCGATCGCAGGTAGAATCCTAGACATGGTAGGCTGCTTTCTCACTTTACCTCTCTCTTTCTCTCCCCACCCCCACTCTGCCCCTTTCTGGTCAAATTAAAACAAACAAATAAAATCAAGTTAAATAATTCTTTTTTTTGGGGGGGGAGAGGTTTTCGCTATAGGGCATGTGCACTCGCCAGACAGACAGAGATATAGAGACAGAAAGCGAGAAATCAACCCCCAGGGGGGATGGTCACGCCGCAATCCCTTCTCCTCCATTCTCCTCTCGGGATCTTGGGCACGCACGCACACGTGCCCGGCATGAGTTTAAGCCACCGGGTCCGGGACGCGAACCGCGGTCGACTACGTGGGAGTCCAACAACATAGCCATTACTCTAACTGCTGGTTCCCAAGTTAAATAATTCTTAAAAAAAAAAAAAAAAAAAAAAAAAAAAAAAAAAAAAAAAAAAAAAAAAAAAAGAAAGAAAGAAAGAAAGAAAGAAAAGAAAAAAAAAATAAATCCAACATCCCTGGGGGCCAGTAGGTGGCATGGTGATTGAGATGCTAGAATCTCACATGGCAGACCATGGTTTGAGCTCCCGACAACCATGGTTTGAGCCCCAGACCTGGTTGATTGAAAATTATACCAGGTGCATGTGCATGCGTGCCCAGAACCCTGAGAAGAGAATGGAAAGGATGGAGAAGGGACTGCAGTCACCCCTGGGGGATGACTTCTCATTTTTCCTCTGTCTCTTTCTAGTGAGCACACATGACTATGGCAAAAAACTTCAAAAGAGGGGGAAAAAAGAAAGAAAGAAACCCAACATACTTGTAAGTAAAAGTACCTACTCAAATACATTTTCCATTAGTAAAGCTGGTACCCAATCCAGTTAAGAGATTCACTTGTTACTGAAAGACTTAAGTCTCCTAATCCACCTAAATTCTGGGATCATTAATTCACATTCCTATTGGTATAAACAGTTTCTACCCAGTTTTAAACTTTTTTTTGGGGGGGGGGGACCAGCAGTTAGTGTAATGGCTATGTCGCTGGATTCCCATGTAGTCAACCGTGGTTCGAGTCCTGGACCCGGTGGCTTAAACTCACGCCAGGCACGTGTGCGTGCGTGCCCAAGATCCTGGGAGGAGAATGGAGGAGAAGGGATTGCGGTGTGGCCATCTCCCTTGAGGGGTGATTTCTCGCTTTCTGTCTCTCTGTCTCTGTCTTTCTGGTGAACACACGCGCCCTATAGCAAAATCCTCTCAAAAAAACAACAAAAATCTGAACCATCTCTCCCAGAAAAAAAAAAAAAAAGCACCTTTACAGAAAATTGAGGAATCCTGGGTTAAGACCTTCTGCCCTAGTAAGAATTATGTACAAAAAAGGCCAAAAAAATAGACTTAGCCACTGTTTCTTACTCTAGAAACACCCAATTCCACTCATTTACCTAAGTAGAATATTCTTTCTTCTCAGTGACACAGAAATTATCCTTATGATGGGACCAGCAATTAGCGTAATGGCTATGTCGCTGGATTCCCATGCAGTCGATCGCAGTTCAAGTCCTGGACCCGGTGGCTTAAACTCATGCTGGGCACATGTGCGTGTGTGCCCAAGATCCCGAGAGGAGAATGGAGAAGGGATTGTGGCGTGGCCATCCCCCTGGGGGTGATTTCTCGCTTTCTGTCTGTCTCTGTCTTTCTGGGGAGCACACGCATCCTATAGCAAAAACTCTCAAAAAAAAAAAAGAAAGAAAAGAAAAGAAATTATCCTTAATGAGTAAACAAAATGAGGGGATCCGTCCAATACTTATCACCCTTGCCCATTCACAACACAGCTCCCACCTACGGGCTCTGGAACTCAGCCAGCCCTCGGCAAAGCAGCTGACAAGCACCATCTCCTACAGTGCAGGGGGTGACAGCCAGAGTCCCATTTCACATGAGAGGAAACTGAGCCTCAGAAGCGTCCACTGACTGGACCAGGGCCACCCGGCTGTTGAAGTCGCATTGCTGGGTTTGGAACCCGGGTATCTGGGCCTCCGAAGGCCATCTACACTACCTCCCACCAGAGGGAACCTTATCTTCATATTGATTACTGGGAGATCAAAAGATATTGCCACAGAGCCACAACCCAGTCATCTCCATCTGTTCTTCTAGTAAGTCAACAGTCCAGTCCAAGGGTCCAGGTGAGTATTACACACCCTCTAGGTGTCCCATAAATACTCGCCAAGTGACTAAGAGCAAAGAGGACTTTACGCTCATGCACAGAAAGCAGGGAAACGGAGTCAATGATTCCCAAACGAGCGCCATGTGAATCCGTGAGTCAAAGCTAGAGCCACAGCCACCGTCGGGCTTCCAAATGGACCGCTCCACTTGGCAGGGCCTCAGCACCGACCCTGTCACATCCCTGAGCGCAAACCTTTGCAACACATTAATGAGGTCATGAGGTCAATCACCTGTGGAACTTCAATAAAACAGAGGACGAGATAACCTTTAACCTATGTTCCCAGGCCTCCCTGGCACATCCTCCACGAATGTAGCCTGACACTGTCGGGCAGCTGTTTCCACAGAACTAACACCGACCATTCCTGAGTGCGCACGGAGAGCCTCAGGACTAGGCCCACTAGGACCCGGCATGTCCTCTGCGTGGCCACTGCTCAGCGCGGCCCAGCGTGCAAATACGACACATGAAGAATGAGCCCATCAATACCTGCACCTAGGCAAGTCCTAATCGTTACTTCAAATAGACATTTTTACTAAATAAGACAAGAAAAGATGAAGACGAAGGTCTAAAATACGTAATACAAAGCTTCCAAAAGCAAACTACACACTCCTCTAAATGTTCAACAGTATAATTCTTTACATCAAGGACCTCTCCGTATAAATATTAGGGGAAAATGCGGCGCCTGATTTAAAACGGTTAAGTGAAAAGGAGGCAAAACGAGGCCATGGGGTTCAGGGTTACTCTACACCAGCGGTTCTAATCTTTTCTGGGTCACAGATCCCTTTGAGAATTTAAAAGCTACAGATCCTCTCTGTCTGCAAAATAAACAGAACCAAAATTCAGCACACACTCAGACCAGAGACAATCCCTGCTCCAGCCCCTTAAGGGACCACAACCCCCCAAGTTCACAACCTCTGCTTAGAATCGGTATCTCTGGCTACGTCTGGCTAGAGGGAAGCCCAACTCTCCATTTATTAAAGTTTTTAGAGGTCATGCCAACATTGAGGGAGACTGAAGACCAAGGCGCCAGCTTTAGGCATTTAGTGGAAACACCCGGAATGTCTCCCCACCCACTGCGATGGCCCCCACTCGCCGCTTGCCGCCTAAGCCACAGGTACAGCCTGTGAGGTGAGGAGGTTCTATCTCACCCGACTAGAGGGCAAGGAGGGAGAGCAGGAGCCATCTCCGAGCTAGGTATTCCACCCAGAGCTGTACGCAGCGCAGACGATTAGGAATTGTTGACTGGTTTACTGAAGAACAGGTTTAATACAACCCACATATTATCTTTAATGGTAAAATGAGCTGCAAACCCATGTAGTAGGAAAAGATAATGCTACATAACTAAGAAGATGTGGATTTTTAAAAACAAAACGTTTTCCTAAATTGGGCCCCTGGGAGCTTGAAATACAAGAATAAGCCTGTCGGAAATGTGCTTTCTCATCTCTGCAGTGCTGGATTTCTCTGGGAGGGCCCTGCCCGCCTATGGCATGGAGGTTGGTAGAGAGCAAACCGGAGCCACACTCGGTACGGGCAAGTCGGAAACTGCAGGAGCCAAGAAGGTGAGAACAGGAGTCGATGCTTGCTGCGGAAGACATCTCCTCAATAAACAACTCCTGACCGTCGGCAGGGCTCAGGTTCCCAGGCTCCAGGCCTGGCGGTACAATGATGGGACGCACTGCCTGCCCTCATGGAGCTTCTGATGCAGCTGGAGAGAAAGCAGGCCTCAGAGTACAGTGAACCCCGCAGACAAGCTCAGACAGCGGGCTGACTGCTGTGACTCAGAGAAGGCTTCCCGAAAAAGGAAAATCTAAGTCAGACCTGAGGAATTGAAAGAA